GCCCATCTACCTTCTTCATTTTTCTTCTTTTTAGGGGAAATAGCTGCCTTTATTACTTAGTGTGCCACAACATTATCCAACATAGCATCATGAATACATGAAGGAAAAACATGAAACCAAGTTTTGCATAAACCTAACCGGCAGCCTTCCCTAGCTAAAATGTGAGCAACTTTGTTTGCACCACGTCTAGTCCAAATCACTCGATACTGGACGCCACCAGACAACATCTCCTTAATTTCTTGGATAAGTGGACCAAATCTGGAGCGATTAATCTCAGTCGAATTAAGAACCCGAGCCACATTTTGATTGTCAGTTCAAACTCACGACATCTTTGGTTTGAGTGTACCGCAGCAACCACTACACCACATTGCCGCTTGTGATCAGTTAGTTCTTTTTTTCCTTTTTATTTCTTCTTATTTCCGAACCAGTTTTTACCCATTTCATCAGTTTCCTAACGGCTTTGTCCGGTTTTTCTTTTTTCTTGTTCTTTTCCTTTTTTTTGTTTCTTAAATGCCTTCTTTCAGATTTGTGAAATTTTATTTTCGAAATTGATGAACTTTTTCCAAATTTGTGAGCTTTTTCTTCAAAATCGAGGTCTTTTTTCCAAAATCCATGAAATTCTTTTCAGAACCAATGAACTTCTCGTAACATTCGTGAACTTGTTTTCAAAATAGATGAAATTTTTAAATATTTGTTAACTTTTTCCTAATTTTGAACTTTTTTTTAAAATTGATGAATTTATTTTAATATTTTTCAATTTTTTCTCAAAATTGATGAACTTTTAAAATTTTATATGAACCATTTCCAAACTCGTGGTTGTTTTTAATATTTTTTTAGAATTATTTTTCAAATGTATAATTTCTATTTAAAATAATTTATGTTGGGTATATGTAATACTCTTCTGTTTCAAAATAAGTGCCTCAACTTTGTACTAATATTAGTACAAAGTTGAGTCACTTAACTTGAGACGGAGGGAGTACTCTCTCCTTTCTGGTTTATAAGGTTTATTTTAATTTTTTTTGTTTTTCTCCTCATTTATTTATTTTCTCCTGTTTGATTTTTTCTAATGTTTCTCTTATTTGAGAGCAGATTGCTGAGATTATTGGGTCGGCCCAGGAGCACGGCGCCTGAGCGCTAGTTGCAACAACTGGCGCTGAAGGCACTGTATAGGAGGTCCCAGTATTTGTCTAGGCTGCGTGTTTTAGTTTTCCTTGGCCCATAAACTCTCAGATGAGCCTTTTCTTTTATTCCTTGGCTGTACTAGGCTTCAACCGGTCTAAACCCACTTTTCCATTCAAAAATAGAGCAGGGATAGTTGCACAAGAACCATTCTGGGAGTAGAGGGTTTCTCAAGAAGTTGCACAAGAACCAAAGCATAATCCCCTTTTTTTGAGAAACTGAAGCATAATCATGGGATAAAAAGCATATAGAAAACCTGGTTGCACTTTTTTAGTAGGGATAGTTGCACACTTTTAGAAAAAAATCTACAGTTTATTGAAAAGTGAAATTGATTAATCAGGAGAAGGAAAATAATATAAATATCAAAGCAAGTTGCCCTTTTTACTTTAGTTGCACATTTTTTTAAAAAAATACTAGTACTCTTTATTGAAAAGTGCAACTCAGGGGTAATAAGGCTAAAAAATACATATATAAACTCGGCTGCACATTTTTAAAAAGTGTAATTACTATTTATAGAAAATTGCAACTAAGCACAATCATGCTAGAAAAATACATGCAATAACCTGGTTGTGCTGTTCTAAAAATAATAGTTGCACATTTAGTTTCTTCACAAATACGTAAGAATTTTTTTAATAAAAAGGGTGGGAACTGAGATATATACGATGCCACACAATATATACACAGTAACACAGTTACACTTTTCTGAAAATCGTAGTCACATATTAAAAAAATGCTATTGGGATAGAATCAATATATAAAATACATACACTGCAACCCGGTTGCGCTTTTTCTAGAAAAGTGCAACTCCATTCGATTGAAAAGTGCAACTGTGGTATAATCATTTTGGAAAAACGCGTGTACCAATAACATTAACTTTTGAGAATATGGTAGTTGTCATTTATGAGATAGTTCAAGTAATAGTTTTTGAAAGTCTAGGAAGGCACTAAATAATCAACGGAGAAACCAAAAACAAACAACTGCATATGACACTGTAGAAACACACCGATAAAAAACTCCGCGAACTGATGAAGCACATGAACTTCTTAAAAAATAAAGTTGACGAGCTTTCTTGATTTTGAGATTGGTAAAAAAATATTTCCATCATAACCATACAAGATTGAATGTGGGACCAAGGAACCACGTGCAAAAAATATATATAATACAGCAACTCTGGATTGTGCTAAAAACCCTAGTAGTACAAATGCTGAGCTACACAAGCACAAACACGAAGACAAAGTTCACAGCAAAAAGAAGAAAAGGGAAAGAAAAGGACTAGACAGGGCCAACAAATTGAATAAAAGCCCATGAGGATAAGCTAAGTGCCCCAAAAACAGAACAAAGAAAGCCCGCATACGAAGCAGTCAGGCGGGCCCTTGTCAGTTGCCTACGCTGCTGACAAGGGCCTGGTTGCACTAATCTGTATAAAATCGATCGAGCGAATCTCACATCGCCTGCCCGCCCAAAAAAAAAATCTCACGTCGCCTGAGAATTAAGAAATTCTCAGGCAACTGCGAATTAGCAATTCCGTTGTCTATTTTGTGCACCACGTATGAAAACATGGAGATTTCTAGGTACAATAGATCACAACCACATGTCAAGACGCTTGAAGATTTTATTTTTTAATTGTTTTCTCGAAAATACAGGTACAGCCCAGTATTGGAAAAGGCATTTTCGATTCCATCTCCACCATCTGCATTTCTAACTTCTCAGGTCTTACGTTCCTTCTCAACGACTTGACCATCAATCAAAATGGAAAAAAATGTACACAGTACATGCCAACCACAAACCAAAATTCAATTAAACAGAGAACGAGTCACGATTCAGCATCAGCTATGAGAGGAGTCAACGATGTCCCGGAAGCAAATTTAGACACCATCATGAAGAGATCAGACAAATTCATCCATTTTTTTCTTACTGTTTACATAATGCATCCCTGCCTGCAACAATGAACAGAACCTCGACAACTGTCGAAGATCTTCCCAGAGTCCTTCTGTAGGGCGCTCATAGTTCCAGGGCCCCTTCTGCTTGAGATATGCTAACCGAACAATACATTCAGCAATCAGCACGTCTGGTTAACTTCAAAATGGCTTCAGTAAACCACCGTGTATGATATGCCTGATCATCCATGGAAAAAGAACATGTTCCTCAGTTATGCATGCACACATACCAGATAAAACGATATTGAAAATGTTAAATCAAACAACTCACCGCGTGGATATTATACTCTACATCAAAAATAGGTGTACCCCATTTCAGAATATGAATCTCTGAACCACAAGTAGAAGGATGGTTACACCTTATAAGAGCAGAAGAATAAGTTATTATGCAGGATAAGGAAGCAAATGAAAACCTTCTGGTGGCTCTAGCTGAACAGAACTGAAAATCAGCACAGCTCCAATAAGCACACACACTCAATATGAGGAGTGTGGGGAAACATATCGACAGGTATTACACGCTTCAGCTCGTAGCACCCACTCAGGCCTTTCTCTTCCTGCAGGCAAATTCATTGACGAAGCAGCTAAGCATTGCAGCGGCCCCAAAATATAACAAAGCTGATAATAGTAGCAGCGAACATACCACGCCATGACATAGGTAGTCCAAATCCCGTGCACAAGTAGCTGGATTACAAGAGACGTACACTATTCGAGGGGCTTTGACTTCTAGCAGCCACTTGATTAACTTCATGTGCATCCCTGGCCGATTAGGATCTGAAGAATTCATCGACATAAATTAGGTCTTAACAAAACAGACTAGAATTTATATGTTTGTTGCATAAGTTCAGCAAACAAGCAAAAAATGTATATATAAAGGTGATATTAGCAGCTAGTGAATATTTTGAGACGAAATTCATAAAGAATTGTGGTTTTCAAACAAAATTTCTAGGAAGAATCAGGAGACTAGTGAATTTTGGTGCTGAAGAGTTACAAAAAATTCAAGGAACACAAACCTGATATGATTATATCAGGCTTTGGAAATTCCTTGCCAAATGTTTCGCTGATTTTGTTAAGGTCTCCCTGAACAAATGTAGCATTACTAATACCATTCAACTGAGCATTCTTTTGGGCATCCGCGATGGCTTCAGGGACAACTTCATATCCATAAACATGCTTTGCACTGGGCAAAAGAAGAATGCTTAGTAACTGTAGTTTTATGTTAACCAGATACGGAAGTTAGCCAGTGGTCGGTAGCAGTTGCTAACTTGCTATCTCACAATAGCTACCACTACAAGGAAGCCTACCTTCTAGCAAGAGTCAGCCCAATGGTTCCAGTTCCACAAAACAAGTCAAGAACAATCTCAGAGCCATCTCCTTTAAGCCCAGCAGAATCTTCAATAAGCTTATAAAGAACATCAGCCTGCAAGAAAACCAATGCTACTTTCATATGCAGACATGGGGAACATATTGATAAAATTTGAAGTACTAAACATCCAGCTAGTACACCACCAGAAACTGACTTCATTTCAACAATCATATTTCTAACATTCAGTAGTTTCTTCAGCTGAGTAAATATGCAACCTCCTCATATATGCTATTTTTAAAAGCTATTTGCATGCTTCCATTGAAATTAAACAGCCTAAAAACATAGTGTGCTGCAATGATGATTGGAAAATAAGTTACCATGCTCTGATTCATGCATTTATAACATAAACAAACCTGTTTTGTATTAGTCTGGAAAAAGGAGTTGGCAGATATCTGGAATGTAAGTCCTCTCAACATCTCTGTAATGGTCGGTTTCCCGTACAAGGTATATTCTTGCTCACCCACGGATGTATTGCCAACAGATGTATTCACATTATTTACGACACTTACCTACATTAGCAGTACATGAATATCAATACTGGTCAGCCAGGATAGTTGTGGCATAAAGAGTTCTACTGGGATATATGATTGGCCAAGTAGATTAAACATCATGTCAGGAAAGATTCAATAATGTACCACTTCAGATATTTTTGTGATTCTATCCACAAGAGGCACCAGTAGCTCAGGTTTATAACATGATGTCACAAAATTGACCATCAATTCTGGAGCTCCAGTGCTGACATTTCTGAAAGGAAAAAATGGAATCTTTAAAGCGTCCATCAGACAAAAAGATTGCTCAAAAAGTAACAAAAAGGTTGAATGGCTCCTTTGTTTGGTGGCAAACAACATGACCTGTCCCTGCCTTAACAACTATACTTCTTTAACTGAAAGATTTGTAAATAATGCCTTTCTAGATATCAATACATGGCCAAACAGCTAATGAGGCCAAAGATACAAAACGGAAAATTTCACAATTTCACAATTTATTCTGTTATGGTATGCTGGTTTGTTTGAGTGCATTGTATCAGTACCATTCTGTCGTTATGTTGTGGCAATAATATTAATATATCTACAACTATACTATGCATAAAATTTGCATGCAGTAAACAGTAAATATGATACTCCCTCCGTTCCATAATAGCGTTTAGATTTTTTGAAAAGTCAAACTTTGCAAACTTTAATCAAGTTTATATAGAAAACTATTTATATCTAAGATACCAAATATATAAAATATGAAACTACATCTTATGATGAATCTAAAGATATATTTTTGGCATTCTAGATGTAAATATTTTTCTCCATAAACTTGGTCAAAGTTTGTTAGGTTTGACTTTTCAAAAAATCTATATGCACTACATTATGGAACGGAGGGAATATCATATACTATGAATCAAAACGCACATCCAGATTCATGGAAAGTGATATATACAGCATCAGCTGCATTACTGTTGGGTCAAGTGGGGAAAAAACAATCAGATGGGCCACCATACCTTCCAGTTCGTATCATTAGATGCTTGAGAAACCCAGTGTGCTTGTAGACATCGTAAGGCGTGAGGCCAAGAGCCGGATCCGTCCAACTTCCTTGAACAACTGCAAGAACCTATGGAAATTAGCAATTAATCAATTCAACACTCCCTGTAATCAAACACCAAAAACGAATGTGCTATGTGCTCACCAATTCAATGATAGTACAGTAACATAATCACACACCCAAAAGATAGTGAACAAACAAACAAAACCAAACCAAGCTACACCAAACTGCTACCACCACCAGGTAACACGATGCTTCCAGAAATATAGCCAAGCTCACTAATTCCCCAACAACATAGCATTTGCAATGCAAATATGGCACAACCAGTCTAGCTTTGACACAATCAGCAGAGTAGACTTGAAGTGAAGAATGATCCTAAGAGTTGAACAGATAGATTTAAGAAACATACTTCAGCATATATAAGCAAAATCATCTTAGCAATGCATGTGTGCATTTTATCTGATATAGCAATACATTGCTTACATTCAGAGAATCAAAAGCTTAGCTTTAGAGCGTCAAGCTAACCAGACAGAACAGTATGTATGATGCTACCACCAAGCTAACAATATGATTTATATATCTCTACCATCCGACATCAACAACCAATCAAAAACATTAAAGTTGGTACTGACATATTGAATCCAGTACTCTTTTTTCAGGAAGCGAATCCAGTACATTCTCATCAACCAGTTAATTACCTGATCTGCCGGCTCACTATGCAGCAAGCACGTCTCAACATGAAGCACCTTGTCAAAGAACCCTGGTGCATGGAGTCCAAGTGAATAACCATCAGTCTCCACCTCTTCCCCCTTAGACACCTCCTCTTTCTCCTCCTTCCACTCCCTTTTCATCCACCTCTTCGTCCCAAACGAGAACTCCATCTACAAACATGGCAGCAAATGCATCACCTCCCACACCCCAAACCCTTCCTAAACCCCCAAAGGCCCAAACCCAAAGTCTCAAACCTCACCTTGTTCCTGTATCGAAATATCTCATCGCACGGCACGATGGGCTTAAGGATGGCATCTGAATCCGAGCTCTCCAGCTTTCTGGGGTCAAACTTGCCGAAATTTACCAGCAAGTCGCGGACCTGGACGTACTTGTGGTGGATTTGCGCAGAGTAGGCGAGGGACTGGCTCTTGCAGCCGCCGCAGTCGGCGGCGAGGGGGCAGGGGGCCTCGACGGCGTCGTGGTGGGGCGAGAGGGTCTTTAGCTTGGCGGCCTCGGCGAAGGCGCCGCGGCGGAGGCGACGGACGCGAGCCACGAGGCGCTCGCCGGGGAGAGCGCCGTCGCAGAGCAGGACGAAGGAGGAGCCGTCGACCTTGCAGACGCCCTTCCCCTTGAAGGCGAGCCCCTCGCATGTCAGCTCGAGGATCTCGTTCTTCTTGGGGAAGTACCCCTTCCCGCGTGGACGCGGCGGCGGCGGCGGCGGCTGGGACGGGGCGGGGGCAGGCGCGGGGGCTTCCGAGGCAGCGGCCGCAATGGAGAGGAAGCGGCGGTGATGGTGGAGGGGTATGCGGCGGCGGAGGAGGGTGCCGGAGAGGGGGGAGAAGGCGCCGGCCGCGGCCATGTGGGCGGCGGCTGTGGCGCGGTGGGGATTGACGGCGGACGGTGGAGATGGCGCGGCAGAGAAGCCGAGGATGGTGGTAACCACTCTGTCACGACGGGCCCACTGTTCAGTTAGCAAACCACCACAGCGGTGGCAATTTGCAGTTCGGACCCTTCCGAACTGCAATATCTGATCATTTTTGGAGCGCTAAATTGTGCACTACCCAAGCCATGTAATCTCGGGTTGCATTAATATTCTAGCGAATTTAATATGATTCACTAATTGCATACTAAAGATGGATTTGCTCTTTGAATTGGCATTTATTAGCTTACTATAAAGAATAATATTTTATCTAGTAACTCGATAAGGATAGGGGAAAAGTTGAGACGAATTTAAAAACCCGAAACCAATTAAGGCCCGCTTGGTAGCCCAGTAGCCCCCTCCCCGTCACAACCCATACGCCGAACCCACGAGTCAAAGCGTCAAATGCACCCAGGGAAGCCCACCAACACATTTGGTCGCATAGCGGCTGGTGGTTTTCCGACCTAATGCGTGTTGTTTCCGCGGGGGAACAATCCATGTCTCCAGAGGTCAGGAAGACCCTCCCTCCCCCCTCCCCCGCCCCATCTCTCCCTATTGATCAATCGAGAGGTGACGGCGCATGCCTCGATCTCCTCCACATAGCGACTGAGAGTAGCGCCTCCATCTTCCTCTGACAACATCCCCCAACGCTAGCCTCCGAGTTTATTTGCCCTTTACCGATGGCCCAGCGGGCGCCTCCTTCCCCACCCCGCCTTAAAGTTTATGTCCCCTCAAGTGACGTCACGACTATTTCATCGTCATTCGGCGAAGTTTACTACCCTCCTTCTCCTCATTCTTTCACCTCATTTTGCCTTTTCATGTGGATGTTTCCCCCTACCTTTCTGATGAGCTCTTTATAGATCCACATACGTCATCCATTTTGTGGTAGCCTCTTGAATTTTAGGGCACATTTTGATATGTACTCATATTTTACTTTGCCACGTATCTGGTATGCATTTAGGGCTATTGTCTATTTCAATGGGTTTTTGTAACGAGTCACGCTTCGTTAGAAGCCTGCATAATGTTGCAATATACCCGCCATTTTTTAAACTATGTAACATCTTTGCTAACCAAAATATTCCAGAAATTATTATAGCTTCATGAATCATAAGGCACGTTTGGTTCCTATCCATGTCTTATTCGGACGTACATTTAACGGATATTGTTATTTCCCTGATTTTGTCGTCACGTGTCACACTTTTTTAGCAAACCGTCTCACTTTGGCATAGACACATCTTTTTCTTTCAAACAATGTGACAATATTGCTAACCAAAATATTCTTGGAATGTTGTACGGCTTCCTGCGCTTTATAGCAGTCGAAAGCGCGGGAAAGCTTTGCTCGGCCACGAACCAACACATGCCCTCAAAGTTGTCATGTAACATAATGACCATCTAGCACAGGGGCATCATTGCAAAAAAAAAGCTACACAATCGCCCTGTGCTTGCTCCCGACAAGGCCTCAAAAGTTGAAACGACAACACAACAAGGCCGGCGTCGCACGGCGTCCCCAAAATTGAGACAACACTTCCATCCCGCCCCTAATTTTTAAACAGACAAACTTATGTTTACCCCCTGGAACCCTACCCACCTTGCATATCAACACTCCCACCGCCCTTCCACGCTCGCCCCCTCATGCCCTTCTTCTACTTGTATCCTGCACCCGCCAAGCCACAAGCAACACAATCGACAAATCTCACTCACTCGCCTCCTCCTCCTCCCTCATCCCTGATAATCCGCCATCGTAGGGCCCCCGGGCCAGATGAAAAAATAGAGGAGAAGGATGGCCTCTTCCCAATGCATGCATGAGACGGTGAAGAAAATATCATTGTGAGGACCCGAGACCCAAGCCATGGAATAAGAAAGGAGATCATGCAAATGTCTCAAGCCATCCAGGTTGGATCTCCAGGGGAGTAGTGAGAGAACGAAGCATGATAAATGCTAGAAAGATGTAGCTAAGAGCCCAACAACCGGCATGAACCCAAGTGGAGAAAAATAAAAGGGAATCAAAGGGAGAAGAAGGAAAAGAACGTGAAACCAGACCTCGGGTCCAGTAACTCACCACATCCAAAAATGCTAGCACCACAATGTTGGTCAGCTTGTAGAGAAGGTGGATACGGATCCGAGAATCAACAACAACGCCAGCCCAAGCACGGCATAGGGCATCAGATCTTCTTCCTTGCAGTCCTACCAAATCCTTCAATCCAACAACCATGGATGATATGAGTGGAGAAAGGAAGAAGGAAAAATGATCTTGTGTGTTAGAGACACGTAAACACCTAACAAACACTAGGGGCGCAAATACAGGGATGAATATAGACACATCAAATCAGGGGATCGAGCCGTTTTCACCCTCGATCCTTGCCGGTCGAAGCAAGCCAACAAGGAAGAGAGGAAGAGGAGACGGTTGATGGAACGAGGAAGGAAAGCTTAGAGGCAAGGGATGGGAGAGGATGAGAAAAGAGCAATGACTCCCCCGTGTTGGTGACGTTTCAGGACGTGTTTGAATCACAACTTATTACCCTAATAACATAATAACTTCATGGTTTATACATAGCCTCTTGAATTATAGGGGGCATTTGGTCTATAGTCACGTATTACTTTGCCACACACGTTGGGTGGGTATTGCTTGTTACATACTCCTCCGCTCGGAAATAGTACGAGAATCCAGACGGAGGCAGTAGGTTATTATCGCAGTGTGTCATATTTTATTAGGCCAATTCCTCACTATGTTGTATAGTCTCATATTTTCAAATCATATAACGGCTTTGGTAACATAATTGTTTCTAGTACAGTGTATGGCTTCCCGTAGTTTAGTGGTAGGAAGCCCTGATAACATAATAACTTCAAGCTCTGCTCGACCATGAACCAAACATGCCCTCAAAATCCCCAAGTAACATAATAACCATCTAGCACGGGGGCGTCACTGCAAAAAGAGCACACAAATCGCCTTGTGCATGCTCCCCCACCAAACCTCAAAGCCGAGACGATGACCTAATAAGGCTCGTGTTGCATAATGTTCCTGAAACTAAAACAACTCTTCCATCCCCGCCCCTAATTTTCAAACGGGCAAACTTACGTTTACCCCCTAGAACCCTACCCCTCGCATATCCACCCTCCTCGCCGGCCGGCGAAGCCAACAGTGAAGAGAGGAAGAGGAGTCGGTTGAGGAAGCAAGAAAGGGAAGCTTAGAGGTAATGGAGGAGAGAGAACGAGAAAAGAGGAATGCTTCCCCCCCTTGCCAGTGAAGTTATAGGTCGTGTTTGAATAACAACTTAGTGCCATAGTAAAATAAAGTTTGTAGTTTCTACATAGCCTCCTGAATTGTAGGGCGCATTTGCTCTGTAGTCATGTTTACTTTGGCACCCACATTTGGGTGGGGATTGTTTGTGTTTCATGGGTTTTTGTTGTAACATGTCACACTTTATTAGGACAATTCCTCACTTTGTCGTATAGCCTCATATTTTCAAACCATGTAAAGGGTTTGGTAACGGAATTGTTCCCGGAATGTTGCACGACTTCCCACGGTTCAACGTTAAGATAGCACGGGAAAGCTCTCCTTGGCCATGAACCAAACATGCCCTCAAAATCCCCAAGTAACATAATAACCGTCTAGCACGGGGGCATCGCCTCAAAAACACACACACACACACACACAATCGCCATGCGCTTTGCTCCCCACCAAACCTTCAAAGCCAAGACGGCGACCCAATAAGGCCCGCGTTGCACAATGTTCCTGAAACTAAAACAACACTCCCATCCCCGCCCCTATTTTTCAAACGGGCAAACTTACATTTATCGTCTGGCACCCTACCCCCTTGTATATCCACCCTCCTAGCCGGCAGGCGAAGCCAACAGTGAAGAGAGGAAGAGGAGTAGTTGAGGAATCGAGAAAGGAAAGCTTAGAGGCAACGGACGAGAGAGAACGAGAAAAGAGGAATGACCCCTCCCTTGTCGGTGAAGTTTTAGGATGTGTTTGAATAACAACTTAGTGCCCTAATAAAATAAAGTTTGTAGTTTCTACATAGCCTCCTGAATTGTAGGGCGCATTTGCTCTATAGTCATGTTTACTTTGGCACACACATTTGGGTGGAGATTGTTTGTGTTTCATAGGTTTTCGTCATAACGTGTCACACTTTATTAAGCCAATTCCTCACTTTTGTCGTATAGCCTCATATTTTCAAACCATATAACGGGTTTGGTAACGGAATTGTTCCCGGAACATTGTACGGCTTCCCGCGGTTTAGCGTTAGATAGCGCGGGAAAGCTTTGCTCGACCATGAGCCGAACATGCCCTCAAAATCCCCAAGTAACATAATAACCGTCTAGCACGGGGGCATCGCCGCAAAAACACACACACAATCGCCATGCGCTTTGCTCCCCACCAAACCTTCAAAGCCGAGACGACGACCCAATAAGGCCCGCGTTGCACAGTGTTCCTGAAACTAAAACAACACTCCCATCCCGCCCCTAATTTTCAAACGGGCAAACTTACATTTACCCCCTAGAACCCTACCCCCTCGCATATCCACCCTCCTAGCCGTCCGACGAAGCCAACAGTGAAGAAAGGAAGAGGAGTCAGTTGAGGAAACGAGAAAGGAAAGCTTAGAGGCAACAGACGAGAGAGGCCGAGAAAAGAGGAATGACCCCCCCACCACCCTTGTCGGTGAAGTTTTAGGACATGTTTGAATAACAACTTATTGCCCTAATAAAATAAACTTTGTAGTTTCTACATAGCCTCATGAATTGTAGGGCGCATTTGTTCTGTAGTCATGTTTACTTTGGCACCCACATTTGGGTGGGGATTGTTTGTGTTTCATAGGTTTTTGTTGTAACGTGTCACACTTTATTAGGCCAATTCCTCACTTTGTCGTATAGTCTCATATTTTCAAACCATATAACGGGTTTGGTAACGGAATTGTTCCCTGTACGTTGTACGGCTTCCCGTGGTTTAGCGTTAGATAGCGCGGGAAAGCTCTGCTCGGCCATGAACCAAACATGCGCTCAAAATCCCCAAGTAACATAATAACCGTCTAGCACGAGGGCATCGCCGCAAAAACACACACACAATCGCCATGCGCTTTGCTCCCCACCAAACCTTCAAAGCCGAGACGACGACCCAATAAGGCCCGCGTTGCACAGTGTTCCTGAAACTAAAACAACACTCCCATCCCCGCCCCTAATTTTCAAACGGGCAAACTTACATTTCCCCCCCTAGAACCCTACCCCCTCGCATATCCACCCTCCTAGCCGGCCGGCGAAGCCAACGGTGAAGAGAGGAAGAGGAGTCAGTTGAGGAAACGAGAAAGGAAAGCTTAGAGGCAACGTTCGAGAAAGAACGAGAAAAGAGGAATGACCCCCCTGTCAGCGAAGTTTTAGGACGTGTTTGAATAACAACTTAGTGCCCTAATAAAATAAAAGTTTGTAGTTTCTAAATAGCCTCCTGAATTGTAGGGCGCATTTGTTCCGTAGTCATGTTTTGCTTTGCCACACGCATTTGGG